TGCGGGGCCGGTGCGGGGCCCGATCGCGGCATCTGGGCACAGCGCTCCTGGTGTCCACACTGCCATCAGCCCGGGGGTGCTTGCGCTGGACGGGAAGCCTCGTCCAGCCGCACTCTGGTCAAGACCGGCAGGGACACCTGGAATGACGCCCCAGCTGCCTTCCCTGCCGGAAAGCTGGGGGCCGGTGACCTTCTAGTAGGCTGCCTGACCCAGGAGTCCCGCTGTGCCACGCGTCCCCATCCCGAGCTTTGGGTAGGGCAGGGGCGGCTGCCCGAGTGGGCGGACATGCCACGTGGGCAAGCAGTATGGACATCTTCAGCTCCGGCTGCCTCCTGCAGCCCGTGCCCCTGAGGGCCTGAGTGCGGGGCAGTTAGGTCTGCCCGTGCCCAGCAGTGGCAGGTGAGTGGGCATGGGCATGGACACTTGCCGGTGAGACCTTTGCTTTTCCTGCTTTCCCCTGGAGAGCCAACTTATGCAACAGAGCCGTGTGTGGCCGTTTGGCGTGCAGGATGAGCGGGGCACAGAGATGATGGTGAGGTTGGCTGGTCACCCCAAGCACAGGGCAGCTGCGAAGACAGAGGCTCCCTCCCACCTCCCATCCTGCTCACCCTTCATCTGCTGTGCAAGGCTCTGACTCTGTCCTCGGTTGTGGGCCAGCGGAGCACCTCCAGGGAAGAGACTGGCTGTTTCCTTTAGCACTGTCTGCACGTGTCACCTCTGGGGCAGGGATAAATGCTGGGCAGCTGGCTATCGGGGCAGTGAGGTGTCCTGAGAGGTTTACCAGCTTCCTGGATTGTTGCCTACTCAGGCCTTTGGAAGCCCCAGGCAGGGAGAGTGAAAGCCCAGAGCTTTCTGCCAACTGGCTGGGCACGGACTCTGCAGGGTCATCTCTCAGCCTCCCCCCATGCTGAGGACTCACTGGCCCCTCTCCACACCCTTGGGAAGAGGGCTTATTCCCCCAGCAGGCAGGGATTCTATATGTACTGTCCTAGGCCAAGGCTGCTCAGAGGCCCCAACCTCTAGGCTCTTCCACTCTCCTGGGTCTGTGGCTCAGCTCAGAAAGCCCCTGCCTGGACTGTCCATGCCCCCTGCACCCCACTGCCACCAGGTCCTGCCTCAGCATTAGGACGAGGCAGGTGCACACCTGAGTGTGGCTTAGCTGCTCCCAGGCAGGCCCTGGTCTGCACGCCAGCCCTGAGTGGCCCCCACCTTCGTCACGGCTGGGTGGCAGGCCTGAGCTTTTCGGGGTGTGGGGGTGGAAGTCACCCTGACCAGGACTCATCCAGATAGACGAGGAGACTGGTGCAGGGTCACACTGTGCTCCTGCGGAGGGACAGGGCCTCAGGAGGCAGCTGAGCCCATGGTGACCAGGCTTAGCTTCTGGACTCAGCTGCACATACTGGCAGCCCCTCACCCAGGACAGGCCACTCCCTAGAGGATGGGGTAGGAGGATGGGGGAGCCTGTACTGCTGGCTTCTGGTTCAGATTTCTCAGGAGGGAGGATGGCATCAGGCACTGTGACTGGCCAGTCAACCACTCCTGAGGCCACCACAAGCCGCACAGACAGGGTGGGGCATGGACAGCAAAAGGCACAGAGAAGTGCTCAGTCAGGAGGCAGTGTCAGGGAGGGCACAGATCTGTCACCCAGGTGGAAAGGACGAAGCTCTGGGGGAGGCAGCCCCACCCCCACTCTGGGGAATGTGCTGGTTGGGGAGCTCAGCCCCACCTGAGGGCACCAACCAAGTGAGGGGAGAAAGTGGAAATGCAAAATCAGGCACAGTGGCACATACCTGTAATCCCAGAACTCAGGAGGCTGAGGCAGGAGGATTGCTGGGAGTTCAAGGCCACCGTGGGCTACATAGTGAGTTCAAGGCCTGTCTGAATTTCAAAAAAGGCAGGAAACAGATGGAAGCCAGGAGGAAAAAGGGCCAGGAGAAGGAGAGGGAGTGGGGCTGGAGCTAGAGCTAGGGAACCTGACAAATTGATAATCAAAGAAATTGCCCCACTCAGAGAAGGTGTGACCACAGTGCCAGGGCAGTGGTGGAATCGCAGGCAGGGTTAAAGGAAAAGACACCTCTGAAACCCACAGATGGAACTGCAGAGTAAGTTCTTGCCAAAGAAACAACCTCACTGGCCTGCACAGCCTGGGAATCCCGCCCCATAGCCCACTGTCCTGCAGAACAGCCAGGGACGAGGGACGGGACCAGGGAAGATCAGCCAGTGGCAGGCCATCAGAGCAGAGGCCCAAGAGATGACGGCGTGGTCTTGGAGCCTCCTGAAGGTCATAAGAAGGCGGGGCCAGAGGGGCAGAGAGCACCCTGGGGTGCTGGGGTCTTGCTGCCAGTCCTGATTAAGAAAGGTTAGAAAGAGGAAGGCACTTCGTCGAATTTAGAAATTTTTGAAAAGCAAAAAGAGGATAAACCGTCATTTGCCCGAACCTGCACAAATGTGGAAAGTAAAAGGAGTAAACTCAATCACATAAACAGAGAGTAATGTCAGATCTCACTTGTTTCGGTGAAACCTGAGAGGCTTCAGACTAGCTTGGGAACAAATGCCAGCTGTGGGTTGTTTCCAAGAAACATCTAAAACAGTTAAGAAAAGATTCAGAGCTAAGAGTTGGACAAAACTCAATGGGCAAGGCGATCCCAGACCTGGGGAGTCTGAGGCAGGAGGACCAAAAGGAGTTTGAGGCTTTCGAGGCCACCCTGGACTACAGAGCAAGACCCTGGAAAAAACAAAATGAGAGGCTGGAGACTAGAAAGGCTGGTGGTAGAATGCTTGGGAAGAGTTCAGTCCCCGGCACAGTGAGAGGGCAAGAGATAGAGGAAAGGATCTTTTTTTGAGGGGTGGAACTCAGGGCTTCCTGCATGCTAGGAAAGCTCTCTGCCACGGAGCTGCACCCCCAGCCCAAAGTGGAACTCTGTTAAATGCACACCGGAAGTTGTAGGGAGGGGAGTACAGGACCCGTATCGGTTACTTGACCGCCCTAGCCTCAGTTTCTCCTTCTGCGACGTGGGATCACATCCTGCGACACTGAGAAGTGTTTGTGAGCCACTCAGAGACTGCACGCAGCCTCACCCTGGGTCAGCACTTCCCGGGGCCCACGGCCTGGAGATGGGGGGCTGCCCATCCCAGAAACGCTGTGTGCGGCATTCAGGGCGATCTCCGGGGTCAGCGACCCCAACTCTGGTGAGCCACAGGGCGGGGAGGGGTGGACGCCGGGCGGGCGTGGGGCAGGTGTGGCTGGGCCTGGGGGCGGCCCCCACCGGAAGGAGGTTCACAGAGACGCTGGGGTGCTGGAGCCCAGCAGGACTGTGGTCGGCACCCCTTCCCCTGCAAGGTCCTGGGGCGTGAGGTCACGAGTTCCCCTGTCTTCCTGCAGGCGTGGCGGGCGTGCTCGTGGGACACCCCTTTGACACCGTCAAGGTGAGTTACTGTCGTGGGTGTGCTGCAACTGGAAAGAGGCCCAGGCTTCTCCCGCGGGGCTTGGAATGAGGGAGCCGCTTTCCCACAGAACGGACAGAGCTGAATCTCCCTGCGGGGCGAAGCTGGGCAGGTTCACGGCCACGTCCATTCTCTGGCCGCACTAGCTAAGACCAGGGTGCCAGAAGGCAGGAGGGCACCCACGCAGTCCCAGTGCAGAATGCCCCAGCACCCCTCCAGAAAGAAAGAAAAGTTCAGAGAAGAAATACACACATACAGAGAAACCATAACTTGTATTTCCCATTAATGTGATCTTCACAGAACAGTTATTTATTTCCTTTTTTTGTCCCCCTCCTTTTGTACTAGGGATTGAACTCAGGGTCTTCCCACTGACCTACATCCCAACCCTTTCTAATTTTTTTATTGAGAGAGGGCCTTATTAAGTCATTCAGTTGTCTAAGTTGGGCTCAACTTTTCCATCTTCCTGCCTCAACTTCCCACAGTGCTGGGATCACAGGCTTGCACCACCACACCCAGCTTGATTTTCTTGAGTGAGAAACTGTGTTTCTGAGGCTGGTGTCACCTTGGAGGTACCAATGGCGGAAGACCTGAAGGACACCTCCTGTGTGTGGCCTGCACTCTGGGGACAGAGGTCCTGGGGCAGGCACTCAGGCAGCATCTTCTCCATGTGCCCAACCTCGATAAACTGGAATTCCAGGTCCTTACACCCAGAGCTTCTGGAAAGTGCCACACAGGCTCCCCTGCCCCCTGTCTGTCGGCTTCTGGGCCCACTGCCCACGGCACAGGGCTTCTCTTCCCGCTGCCTGGACAGCGCTGGAGGCAGCACGCAGAGCCCTCTTCGGCTAGCTGAGCAGGACCTTCTGCCGCCTCCTTTTTCAGTGAACCAGGTGTTTGTTGGCAGAGAAATGAACTTGTTAATTCGGGCCTGGGACCTCCTCCAGTGCAGGCTGAGGGCCTGGCCTTGTGTGCTGGCTTTGACCTTAAACACTGCTGTCCCTGGTCCAGGCCATGACTGCGGACCTTGGGCCATTGGCTGTACCTCAGGGCCCAGATGTTGTCATCCACAAAATGCGGGGCGGGTGCTGCCCGATGGCCCTGGGTCATTCGTGCTGGGATCCCTGTGAAGCACATGGCTCCTTGTGGCTCTGGGGTGGGGTTGCCAGGCCAGGATTCCTCCGTGAGTAGGTGTCCCTGAGCGTACTGCTCGGGCCCATCCACCAGGCCACTGCAATGCCCACACAGATGCAATGCCCGGGAGCAACCAGGGACAGCCTGGTAGTGGCAGCGGCATGCTGTGTTGGGCCTCATGTTTCCATTGCCGAGCAGCTGTGTCCAGACGGGAGGGAACTTGGGTCTCCGCCGCCGCCAGCTTGTGGAGGCCGGGCCTCACCAGGCTGTGACCACTGGACCTGGCCCCCTCCCGCATCTCCAGCAGGGGACACTTGTCCTGGTGACCCTAGAAACTCTGCCGACAACCCCCAAGGTAGCCCTGGAGAAACCCATCTGTACCTTTTTCTTTTCTTTTTTTTTTTGGTAGCGGGGATTGAACTCAGGTCCTGGTGCTTGTGAGGCAGGCAGCAGCACCACTGAGCTAAATCCCCAGCCCTATACCTTTTTTCTTTGATTTTGCCACTGGGTCATGGGCAATATTGCCTAAAGCTGAGCCTTTATTAAGAAGGGAGCGGGCTGGGGATTTAGCTCAGTGGTGCCGTCCTTGCCTCGCAAGCACAAGGACCCGAGTTTAATCCCTGGTACCCCCCGCAAAAAACCAACATCAACAACAAAACAAAATACAAGCAGGGAGCAAACCTCCTGGGGAATCAGCCGTGCTAGGACCCCCAAGGCCAGCCACTGTGACATGGGGCCATCTTGGTGTCTGCCTGGTTTAATGTAGCTGTCACCAATGGTCCAGTATCTAAGTTAAGCATGCTCATTAAAAGAAAATTGGAAGCCAGGCATGGGGGTCCACACCTGTGATCCAAACACTCTGGGAGTTTGAGGCAGGGAGGATTCTAAATTAGAGCCCAGCCTGGGCAGTTTAGTGACTTAGCAAGACCGTCTCAAAATTTAAATAAAAAAAAAAGCTGGAGTTTGATCCCTGGTACCAAAATAAAAACAAAAACAAAAACAAACCATTTAACAAAATTAAAAAAAAAAAATTGAACAGCTGGGTGTCGTAGCACAGGCCTGTAATCCCAGCACTCAGGAGGTTAAGGCAAGAGGATCACCATGAGTTCAAGGGCAGCATAAACTACATAGTGAGACCCTGTCTCAAAAACAAGAATGGGCCGGGGATTTAGCTCAGTGGTTCCGCCGCCTGCCTCACAAGCACCAGGACCTGAGTTTGATCCCCGGTACCAAAAACAAACAAACAAAAAATCAGTATCAGAGGTATACAAACTAAGAAGAAAAAGCCATCTTCGTCCCTAGCCTTGTGATTCCTGCTGAGAAACGGCCACATGCTGGACCCTCTACTCCTGGCTCTCACGGAGCAGGATCCACTTTGCTTGCCATGGAGTTTCCTTGTCTGGCATTTGATGTAACTGAAGGAGGCAGGTGCATACCCTGGTACAAACCCTGTCCTGGCCCCTGGCATCCCTGCCCCTCCCAAGACATCCACTGCCCTAACCTGTGGCCAGGGGTCCCTCACTCGGAATACGTGTGGTGACAGTGTGTGCCCTGTCTGTCCATGCTGTCCCAGGTAGGCACATCCTCTGTCCATTCCTGAGGCCCATGGCCGAAGCCTGAGATTGCAGCCCCAGAGCCACGCCCACTGTCCTCAGGCATGGCCTCCTCCCTCCAGGCTGCACGAGGCAGCTCCTAGTAATCAGGGTTACTGTGTGCTGGCTTTCATCAGCGCTTTCCTCTAGAAATCACCCTTCCTTGTCTGGTCCCGGCAGAGATGGGCGGCCAGCTAAGAAGGGTGTTGGGGGCAGTGGCCAGGGCCACTCTGCTGCCAGCCACTCCTCAGAGCTGTGGCTGCCTCGTGTGCACAAATGGTACATTTTCCTGTAACAACACTTTTAGCCGGATGTCCACGCCAGCCTCCAGCACTGGAGGCTGAGGCAGGAGGATTACTGTGAGTTCAAGGCCAGCCTGGACTACAATGAGAGATCCTGTCTCAAGAAACCAAAAAGACTAGAGACAACTTTTTTTTTTTCTTTTTTCTTTTTTTTTTTTTTTTTTTTGGTGCCTTTGCCAATGGAAGATCCACTTGTTCTGGTGGGGGGAACAGGAAGCAGGTCCAGGCAAAGCCTGACTGCTCCACGTCAGGCCACGGCCCCTGGGGAGAGCACCGTGGCTACCCTGGACACCTCTGAGCCTCTGCCTTCCCACCTGGGATGGGGCTGCTTGGGCAGGGACCGCCACGCTGGGTCCTAGGGGTGCCCAGCCCACAGCCTGGCTGTGATCCCAGTCGTTCCTGAGCCAGATCCAGGGAACTGGCTCCCCAAGGGTGATGTGACCTCGTTTCTGTCCCCCATGATGCGCTTCAGGAAATGTCCCTCCGCTCGCCATGCAGAGCTGGGCATGGAGCAAAGGGAGACAAGCTGGCACCAACAAGAACGCCTTGACACAAGGTGAAGCTGCTGTCCCCGCCCCCGCTCCACCCACTCGTGACCACGGCCTTCACGGAGGGGCTGCTGGTGGGACCCGAGAGCAGCACCAAGTCCTTTCCCAGTGCCTGCCCCAAACCAGGGTCAGGGATGGAACACAGTGGGAGCCCTGTGGCCATGGCTTAGGATGGCACTAAATGGGGTGACAGGTGTCCATGGTCCCCTGCGGCCCTCCTGATGACCAGAGGTTTCGCCCCGACTCATCTGAGATGTTGGGGACACCTTTCCTGAAGAGGTTTGGGTCCCTGGCTCTGCCATCCTAGGGTCCCCCTCAGTGCGCCCCCATCCATCCTTGCAGGTGCGGCTGCAGGTGCAGAGCGTGGAGAAACCGCAGTACCGGGGGACCCTGCACTGCTTCCAGTCCATTGTCAGGCAGGAGAGTGTGAGTGCCTGGCTGTGCACCCGGGTGGGCTGGGCTGGGCTGGGATGGGATGGGATTCCCTCCCGGGGGGCTACAGTGAGGGCTGCGACCTGGGAGCCTGCTATGGTGAGTGCCTGGGCCTCCTGGATCCAGGGCTTTGGCCTTGATAAAATACTCCTTGGGCGGAGGCATAGAGGCCCACAGCTGTAACCCCAGCACTGGGAGGCTGAGGAGGGAGAATCACAAGTTCAAGTTTTACCGGGACCCTCCGAAAAGGGCAGAGGATGTGGATCAGTGACTCGGTGCCCAGGAAAACACACACACACACACACACACACACACACACACACACACACCCACACTTTAAAAGAAGAGGATTTACCGAGAACAGTGCTGTTAAAAGATCTGATTTTGTGAGCACTTACTATATGCCAGGCTCTTCTGCTGCCATCTGCCTTAATTATCTCAGATTGTGGCCTCCTGTTCCCCCACCCCACCCCCAACTCATCCTACACTCAACAGCCAGGAGGATATTTTTAAAACAGAACTCAGATTGTAATGCTCCCCTGCTCAGCTCCCTCTGGTGGCCTCCCACTGCGATTCGGAAAGAAATCCAAACATCGAAACTAAAAATGTACATGGAGGTTGGGGGTCTCTTCGTGAAAAGCCAGGGGAATGGGGGCTTCAGGAAGAGTTCAGCAAACACAGAGCCCTCAGGATCCCATGAGACTGGTGAGGGTGGGAGGAGAGGGGCAAGTGGAAGGGACAGTTAGGCCGGGCTGGGTGCCATGAGTGGGGGTGTGGGGAGGGTAAACCGAAATCATG